ACCAATTAAAATGGTCAAAGAATACCAATTAATATAAATAATGCTCAGGTCTCTTATACTAAGTATCTAGGTATTACATTAGCTGCAAGACCTCGCTGGAAGGTCCATTTTAAAAAGAAAAGACAAGAGTTAGATATAAAATTCAAGAAAATGTACTGGTTACTTGGTAGACATTCCAGCCTATCTACATATAATAAAATTAAATTATATAAACAAGTTTCTAAACCAATTTAGAACTATGGCATTAGGCTCGGGGGTTGTGCCAGCTACAGTAATATTCTAATAATCCAGAGATTCCAGAACAAAGTATTAAGGAACATTGTCGATGCTCCTTTGTACATTAGAATCAGTGACCTTCATCGAGACCTTTAGATGGACACTGTAGTTCAGACTATCACCAGATTCGCTAGGAGTCACAAACAACGGCTCCACCAACATGTGAACGTTAGGGCGATCCAGCTTCTTGACAACACGAACCTGACAAGAAGACTCAAGAGAATAAATCCTTTTGAGAACTTTAATTTTAAAGATTGCAACCCTAGTTGAGTTAGGTTGATCAACTTTTGATCAGATTGTAATATTAATAAACGCCCCTTTTGGAATGTTTTTTGACACAAAAAAAAACAGATATTTGTTAGTAACATGGGCTAATTAATAATCCTGTCAGTAATAATTTTGCAAAACTCAATACTTCTGTCCGGATCATAGTCCCCTAATTCTTGGGTGATTAGCAGCTTGTATGGAATAAATTTGTAAGGATTAAATATTTTCCTAACTTACTCATTCGACAGTTCAGTCCACTTCATAGCAACTTGACCAAGAATCTCAATCTGAGCGGCCTCATTAAGCAATTTTGGCATATCCCTTTTCTTATATCAAACAGATTTTGGGCTACGTAAATAAAAATCATTTCTAAGCGTTTAACAATAGTGTAAACCTTTTTAAAAAAGATTACAACTTGAGAAATGAAAATTATTGAAAAATATTGAAATTGTTTATGTATGATGTACCTAAATAACTTTCACAGCTTATTTTACTAATAGAAGAAGTACAGCAAATAAGTGAACATCACAAGTCAGAAAACAAAGAACTGTACTTATCAGAAATAAGCAAAACGAGTATCTTGTTGGCACAAAATAATTAAATTTTTTTATTGGCGAAATATAAATATATAAAAGAAATTGGAATGCAGTATTTGTAGGAACAATAATTTTTAAATGAATAGCTCTGAGGCGGTGAATTTAACCCATTTTATGAGTTTGCATTATTTATATTTATAAATTAAATACATTGCACACATTTGTTAGTTTAGATAGGTACTTTTTGACAAAACAATAATAATGCAATTTATCAAGAATTACGTAAGGAACACAAAAATGGTAAAAGAAATAGGGGTTGCCATTAAAAATTTTAATGGTAGGTGCTCTGGCGATCAGGAAGTGAAAGTAATACGACAGCATATGCCCCAACAATTTCTTCCCTTGATATGTAAATTGACGTGTGTCGACAAATTTTCATGCTATCGTTGGTAGAGGCAATATTAAATGCTGTTCGTTTTCAAATTGACACACTGTATATAAGCACTTAATATGTAACAAACTAACAACAAAGGTATATTTTGTCCAAGTAGACATTTAAAAAATGATATTGTCTCTGGACGCCACTGAATCATTTATTTTTTATATTTGCTATCAAACTTAAAAAAAAATTAATGACAGTCACGGTATAAAATGACATATGCGTTGCAATAATGGACCGAAAACTGGAGAAAGTAAAGCAAACAAAATCATATACGCATCATCAAGACATGGCACCATTCATACATAATACTGCAGTTGAAGAATCTGATGACACCAAAACTTTTTCTAGCACATCCACGTACCGTTAATAAAGAATAATGTGTCCTGTACAGTATTGGATGAGGAATACTGTATTCATTTTAATCTATTGTCAACTGATATATTATACCTACAAATAGAAAGTTTTATTTTTTGATTCCAAATTTTATAGCAAACAAAGAAATAATATATTTAAATGTATAAGCAGCACAAAATTTATTATAAAAAAGAAGTTGGCGGGATTTTGTTTTTTTGGGGGAGGGGGTAACAAAATGAAATTTGGAGGAAATTGGGAGGAAATTTGAGGGAAATTTAGTAGAAATTTGGGTGAAAATTGAGAGACATTTGGGGGGGAATTTGGAGAAAATTTTGAAAGAAATGGAAAAATTGAGGGAGAGTTTAAGGCAATTTTGGGTAACTTGACTTCAGATAAAAAGGGGTAATTATTTTAAAAATTTTCAAAAAAAGTTTATGATGGTATGGATAACTTAAAAATGTTTCTTTTTATAAAACATAACATTTTAAAAAATGTATATATTAATAAACAAAATCAATAAATAATAGCGTTGTTAGGTATAATGAAAGCTTAATACACACAGAGAACCTGGGGAAGTGTCTGTATGCCAAGCATGTTTTTTCCAGATGATGCTGATTAGTAGTTTCTGTAAATTTATATTCCTTTTAACAATTAGCAAGTCAGTAACTATGTCCTTGATATCCCAGTTGGTAAAAGGGTGTGCGCAGCAAACGAATAGGTGATAAGTGGCAGCTTTCAAATAAAATTGGTATCTAAGTATATTAGAAATCAAAGATAACTAATTCTAAATAGTTTTAAAAATATTCATTGGTTTGCCTATGAATAAAATAGGATTAAAGAAATTATTGACTTTAGATATGAAATCATTTTTATTTAAAATAACTATGCAGAATTAACTTGTTTGTAATTGGAACTTTTTCTGTTGAACAATACTAAACATCAGTGAGTTTGCACAATTCTCCAAACTTTCATATATAACCTATTTATGTTCTTACAATGTTTTTCTTTTTGTAACGTTTTATTATAACGAGTTGCTCCACCTCTAACGTTGAAGACGTGCACGTGTCGGATCGAAAGAGAAATTCTATGGAAGCGCGCGCGCATTTTCCGGCTTCCGCTTCCAGTACGGTCCCTTTTTCAACATAAATTGGAGCGGAAGATTTATTCTTGGGGACCATAATTTCTGTAATTACCTACGTAGAAATCAGCGAAAAAGTTGTAAAGTTCTGTTAAATACCAGGAAACATAATGGCGGATATTTTCAATTGAATTTTGTTTTTCTCGCCTCCAATTGTGAGAGGAAGTTTCAGTGAAAATAAAGCAAGAAAGTAAGGATATTTCAAACATACAAAAACATTAATTGGGGGTAAAATTAAAAATTTTGAGAACTATATAGATTTGAAACAACGATGGCTCAATCAAATACTGCCACAACTAAAATTTCGTTTCAAAATTTTGTAAGCCTCTGTTATCTTTATTTTGTTTTTGGCATAAAATCTTCATATTTTATTTAAAAGCTACGACATTTTACTGTTAAAATTAACAATTACGATTATAAAAGCACCTCAACTTGAGTTATTGCGAAGTATGTAAAAAAAATTCGGTATTTTAGCAGAAAAAAACCCGAATTGAGGCAGTTTTAGATATAGTTTGTGGCTGAATTTTAAATCATTTTCGGGCATCTCTAAGAATATTTTGGTTTATGGCAGTATTTAAAATAAAATCTCAATGATATTTTGCATCCATTAAACCAAAAGTGTTCTTTGTTTTGTGACTTGTGGCGGTTTTTGATTGAGCCATCGACATGTAGATGCAATTAAATAATTAAATATCATCATGGAACCAATGTGATTTCAAATAAACATTTATAATATAAGTTGTGACTGTCATATTATTTATAGACCAAAGAGCTCTTTTGCTGGTATGTCACATAAATGAGATGAATAATGTTATTGGTTGATTTATATTTAAACCTCTAGATCTAATCAAAAAATTGATCTTATGGACATAATAGACGTTTAATTTAGTACAAAAATCACTTTAACTATATTGGATATTATCTGACTCAACAGTAAATATCTTATGTAAGCAGAAATTAACCATATTGATATGCACTCTATTACGAATCATCAATTGACTTATTGTAAACTTAGTACAAAAATACTCAAATTAAATGAAAAATTTAAAATTTAGCGACATTATAGTAATATTAATTTAGATACTTATAAAATTGATGGACTTGCAACAGATCTTTTACACAGAAGATATCGACACATAAATGTATACATTAACTAACCTTTTAATATAACTAGTAAGCATGTCCTGTAAGAAAGGTCTGGGCTGGAGCCATTTCCAAACAGCCTACTTTCATCAACCGAACTATTTCCTGTCGTATATATTTTCTTACTTGATTTGGCAAAACCGCATTAATAGAAATTAAAAATAAGAAAATATCATCGTTTATGAAAAAAATTTGGTATGGTTTATTGCTCTATGAATTGTCTAATATTGATATTTAGCCGTTTCTATAACAATACATCAGTGAAAATGGTTTATTTTATTAAGGTAAAAATAAACTTGTGTAAGCGGACCCAAAATTATGTATAGCGTGTTACAAAGTGTCTAGGAACTTTCTGTAAAATTTCAATAATTAAAAATACTCAATGTTTACTCTAGTAGGTATATAGCAATATATCCATTCGCCTCACATAGATGACCCAGATGAGATAAATACAATATTTATTAAGTGGATAATTTAAAATGTAAAACAGACCCTGCTTTAGTGTATCACTATTCTAGATCTATTTCTTTTTTTTTTGTTATAATTCAGTGCAGTCTACAAGTAACTAGTAACTTCTTTAAGTGAATGTATTGCATTTGTGAATATGAATATTCTTATTTAAAAATACATGTTTTCCAATAAATACATGTACCTTAATTTCACTTTAATTTTTTATGTACGTACCCCCTAACCATCAATGGATAGAGGTAGGTACACTTGTATTTTTGTATAATGGCATCCATCTTCCAAAAGCAACCGTTTATACTCGTGTAGCGTATAGTAACTATTTACTAAAAACCAACCTCTCGCTTTGATAGGCAAAGTTCTTTTAAACGCTCTTTAGGTTTGATCATACCGAAGCAAGGGGCCGCGCTAGCCGAGTTGTGCCAGACTGTGTGGGTTCAATGGACGAGCTCCATAAGGCTTTTGACTTTCAGGTAAGTAAGCTATTGCTGTCGAAACTGCACTACTATCGTTTTTCTGTTTAAAATGTGTAAATAAATTTTTTTTAGCCATTCTAAGGCCTTTAGAATTACCAATGCTTTAGCTGTGAATATAAAAAGATGACAGACATAACGTTATGTTAAACGTTCCTTCACTACACCTTTCGATAAAAACTTTCGAGAAAAGTACACCACACAATGATATTAGAGAAATTGAAACAAAATCCGGTACTAAGAATACCATCGGATAAAATGCCCATTATTCACGACTTCAGGAAACCTTTCGATATTCAAATACCAGAAAGGGCCAAAAGCCGGGAAAATAGGGAAAAACAAAATGAATCAATCTGGTATACAGACGGTTCGAAAATGAAACACAGCACAGGAGCTGGGATCTACTATGTAAACTCAGGCAGGACAAATAGTATGAACCTGGGGTCACTGACAACAGTCTTTCAGGCTGAAGTAAAATCAATAAATGCCTGCGCCAAAGTCATGTTAAATGACTCTCTTAAAGATAAGATGATCTTTATTATGACCGACAGTCAGGCAGCCCTTAAAGCATTATTTAATAGCCAACAGTCTCCCCAGGCCCTGGCAGCACATAACAAGGTCACCCTTTAATGGGTGCCAGGACATGAGGAAGTGTTTAGAAACGAGAAAGCGGACTTCCTAGCAAGGAAGGGAGCGGAAAAAACGTATGGACCAGAACCCACATGTGGTACCTCATACCAACATGTTAAAGAAACAAAGAAATAGAGAACAACATAGGCTCTGGTTGGAAATTCCTGGACTTAGACAGACTAAAAGATTTATAGAGGGGCCATCCACGAGCAGACAAAATCAACTGCTAAACCTTAGCATATGCGAATTCAAGGCCTTACGGGACACTGCGGCCTTAGAAGACACCTAAATCTCATAGGGATATCTAATGACTCCCTATGTAGAATATGTGAAGAGGGGGACGAAACTCCTATTGACATACTATGCCACTGTCGGAACCCTAAATGGGAACGGGAATGGTACTTCGGGTTACAATATACGGAACCTGAAGAAATTGCGAAAGAGTCCATCAGACATATTCTTGAATTCATCAAGAAAATCAATCTAATAGGATAGAAACTGTGAGGGGTACAATATGCCTAGAGCTTCAGTACAAGTGGGCTTTGAACCACGCCCTAATTGAGACATTACTTCCCAGACCGACCTTGTCTTTTGGTCTGTAGTGAAATATTCGATAATTTCATTTCTTTCTGTTATGCGTGTTTTGCGCTGTAGCAAGAATCTTTTATCTTATATTGGAGTATCGAAAGAATGTACTGATCTACTATTTTAAATCCAACATAATTACTGTAATAATAATAGTTCATTTTTGTTTTAATAGTACTCAAATATTTTTGAGATTTCTTGTAATTTTTTATTATCACATGTTAAAAGATAGAAACACACTTGTGTGAGTGACTAACACCGTGTTCTTATTTCTTAAAAATAAAGAAGACCGGAAGAACTAAAACTAGGAGAGCTTAAAGAAGACCAAGGGATGTCATAAAGGGAATTAAATGAGACCAGGAGAGCTTAAACTAGACCGAGGTGTGTCGTAAAAGGAATTAAATATCGCCAGGGCAACTTAAATAAGGCGAGATTTAGAGTAGATAATTTCAACAGCATACAAAAAAATGGTTAACACATACAGAGTATACCACATACGAAGGTTCCATCCCTACTCCTGGCCCGGATTCTCATTAATTTGTCCTAAAAAATTGTAGAGCAAAACTAATAGAAGTGTCAGTCTTTATACCCAAGTCATAACCGTTTACCACGAAATCAGGTAATGGTAATCCGACACCAAGCATTTTTACCGAGAATATTTAAACAAAACCAATTGTCAGTTACCTACTAAATTATCTTGTCATTCAATTTTCTTTTCTAGTCAAAGCGCTACCACTGTTTACTCATTAGTCATTTTACATGCATTATATTTTTTATTTATTAGGTATTTTTTTGCTCTTTTACGCTCTCTTTTTATGCACGACTTAGTTGCGTTCGAGGTTTTTGGGCCGTTCGACTATATTTTTTCAAAAAATTCCCCAAAATTCCCAACCATTTTAGTTCCCCACAAAAATCTCCCATTTTTTTAATGCCTTACAAATCTCCCTATTTCCTTCCATTTTCCCCTATTTTCACCCATTTCTCCATTTCTCCATTTACTCCATTTACCACCATTTCCTACAATTCTCTACAATTGGAACTGAAAAACCACTCTTCACCCGGACTGGATTGATTGAATTCCTTCTTTTTAAAAAAGTATGATTTTCTTAGTACGCTTCTTTCAATAATTATGAATTTATCATTTCAAACATCAACCCTACCAGGTCAGTAGAAAATAGCATTAGTCACACCCATTTTCAAAAAAAGGCGATAAATTGGAACCTTCAAACTAAAGCCCAATTAGTCTCTTATCAGTCCCATCTAAGGTCATGGAAGCTATCATGGTTAATGCAATTTCCAAATTTCTAACAGAACAAATTATACCCAATGAACAACATGGATTTGTTAAAAGCAAATCTACCATAACTAACCTGTTGGCATGTACTAGTGATTGGTCAAAAGCCCTTGATTCCAATATTCCTGTGGACATTATATATCTGGATTTTGCGAAAGCTTTAGATAGGATACCTCATAAAAGAATACTTAAACTAGAACACTTAGTATACGAGGCAATCTGAACAAGTGGATCGAGAATTATAATAATAATAATAATAATAATAATAAATGCTTTTATTGACATTATGCATACATATATGACTTATGTCAATTGGCAGGGTTCAGTGTTCCTTAAAGGTAGATGAACTGCCTTTAAGTAACTCTGCTCTTCTACCCAACCATGTACATTTAATTTTTGTCCAAGTATTATCTTAAGTAACAAAAGAAAACTAACTAAACTTTCAAAAATAAAAATAAGAGACATACTAAAAAAATCAGAGAACAACAAAATATATAATTTTATATTAAAAATCTGGTGGTGTCATAACACTATTTAGTAAATAATTCTTCAACTGTTTCTTAAAATTTAATTTATTACTGCAATTACCATGTTTGTCATGAAACCAATTAAAAAGATGAGCGATTTGATATGAAAACGAACCTCTGTAAGCACGTGTTCGGTGTAATAGTATGGTTAATCTATTTTTCCAACGAATATTGACGTTATGTACGTCTGTCCTAAATCTTATTTTGTTGTAAAGATACGGAGGTGTTTTCTTAGAAATAATTGAATTAAACTGACAACAAGCGTTCAATATTCGTTGTTGAATTGTGGTTAACCAACCAATTCTTTTAATATGGTGCGAAATATGTTCCATTCTCCTAATGCCACAAATTAATCTTACTCATGAATTTTGTAACTTCTGTAATCGATTGGAATCAAATTTGCGGATGTTTGGACCATAAACCACATCACCGTAATTTAAGTGCGATATAACTAAACTATTACATAAAACCATTTTAGAGTTAAAAGTCAGTAATTTTCGGTTAGAATATAATAATTTTAAATTACTAAACCCTCTTTTAATAATCCTAGATATATGTGACGAGAAATTTAAATCAGAATCTATAATGATACCTAAGTTTTTACACTTGTCCTTAATGGACAGTGGCTCATCGTTTACCCTAATTCGTACTTTGTCAAGGCATCTATTCCGCTTCACTCGTCTGCCGAAAAACATTAGATTCAACTTTTTAACATTTATAGAGAGTACTATTTTAATAGAGTATGAAACCAGTGAATCCAAGTCATTGTTGATTATAATAATAGAACTGTCTATGTTTTTTTCATCAAAAACATAATATATCTGACTATCATCAGCATAAAAGTGGCTTGAGCAGTTTTTTAAGGATTTGTATAATTCTGAGGTATATATTATAAACAGTAATGGACCGAGAATCGATCCTTGGGGCACCCCATTTATAACACTGTTCCAATTGGATACTTTTTGAGATATCTTATTATTATTATCTTGCCAATAGATATTTTAGTGTCAAAGTTGGACAGTTACATTCCTCCAATCGACCGGTCATCAGTGAAGTACCTCAGGGATCGGTGCTAGGCCCTCTGTTATGCTATGCCTGTGATCTCCCCTTACATATTCACACCTGTAAGTCTTTTTATGCGGAAGATACCAAAATGTATGCAAATCCACTGCTGGAACAGAACTTACTACAAAACGATGTCAATTCTATTAGAAAATGGTGCAACGACTGGTTACTGCCGTTAAATGTTAGCAAATGTGTTGTTTTGTATATGAGAAAAAAGAATCCTCGCCTACAATACACACTAAAAGACTATGCACTGAATAGTGTTACGTTTCATTCGGATTTAGGTGTAACAATTACTTCTGATTTAACCCGGTCTGAGCATGTGCTCACTACCTGCAAACGTACCAATTCACTTGTGTATCTCCTTAGAAAGACCTTCGTGAAAATATCGTTTCAGATGTCAGTGATACTATTTAAAACATATTGGAGTATGGTGGCCCAGTGTGGTGTCCAGTGCCAGTGCGTAATCAAAATCTACTTGAAAATGTGCAACAACATGCGACGCGTATAAGTTTTGGACTAAACCGACCGTATTACGCAGATCGGTTAACAATGGCGCATTTATAGACATTTTAACAGCGCCGCATGCGAGGTTATCTAATTTTTAGTTTTCGCGTATTAAAATTTAATTATGCTGGACTGTTTTGTTTATATTCTTTAAATCATAGTAACAGGCTAAGAGATCACTAATTCAAATTAAAAAGAGAACACCAAATACAGACTATATTTTTTAACAAACAGAATCTTTGAAGTTTGGAACAGCTTGCCCAATGATGTTATAGACTCCACATCTCTAAACATGTTTAAAAATAGATTATACTTTTTTATGAACAAATAATTATCTTTAAACCATATTACTTTACTATTGTTTACAAGTTATTGTAAATTGTTAGGCTATA